TGCTCACGCACTGCAGCGTGGTGATCGTCTCCAGGGGGATCACCTCGCGTGGCGTTCGCATCTCCTGGTCGAGAAACGTCTGGAACTGGCGCTCGCGGAGTATGGCCTTGCGGTTCTGCATCTCCTTCAGTATATCCTCGACGACGCCGGAGGGGAAGCGCACCAGCGGTCCCTCGTAGCGGATGAGCAGGGGCGACAAACTGGGCCGCGGCACCATTTGCAGGGCCACCTTGACGTCCGATTGCCGCTGATTGGCTCCGCGGAAACTGGCCTTCCGTTTCATGGCGTCCATGCGCAACTTGACGCTGGAGAAGGCGCTGATGGTCTGCCGGAAGCGGGAGCCAATGGTGGACCGATTCTCCTGTCCACTTCCGCTGCCATCCTTGCCACCGCTCCCGCCCCCTCCCCCTCCTCCGATGGCCTCCAGATAGGTGGGCGGACTGTCGCCGTCGACGGGCGGCGTCGTTTTGGTCGCTGCATCGGCCACCTTGTCCGCCTTGTCCACCACAAACCAGTTGGTGCGGTTGCGTGAGCCACTGGCCAAGTCCACGGGCCCAGCTGCCCGAGTGGTCGACTCGGCTGGCAGTCGGCTGAGATAGGGCTTGGCCCGCTCCTCGTCCAGCATGTTCTCCATGCTGTCGCTCAGCAGATGGGCATTCTGGTGCACTATCTGCGGCTGCTCTATCTGCGACTTGGCACTTGTGGGGCAGCTGGTCGTGGTCACTGGCTCCTCCTCGGAGGTGCACATGCTGACGTCGTCCTGCTCCGCCTTCACCGTGCCGTAGGTGTCCTCCTCGAGCAGGTGCTCCAGCAGCAGCAGCTCGTTGCTCTTGTTCGACCTGGCCAGTGTGGAGCACTTGCTGGACAGCGGATCGAACTCCTCGATCAGAGCCTGCGGCAGTGGAACACCACCCACGGCCCCCTCGCCGCCATCCAGTTCCGCATCCTCGTTGATGCAGGCCAGCTGCTGCTGCTGCTGTTGCTGCTGTTGCTGTTGCTGCTGTTGCTGCTCGGCCACTTGGTTGGGGGTCAGGACATTGCTGCGACTGCTGCCGGCGGTGGCCATCTCGAAGAGCTTGCCGTAGGTGGCCTCCTGGTTGGCGTACACCGGCTCGGGCGAGGAGTTGCCATCCTGATCCTCTTCCTTATCCTCCTCCTCCTCTTCCTCGTCGGTCTCGTCCTCGCCGTAAAACTGCCAGGAATCGCTGCGCTCCGGCTTGGGGGCCTTGGCCTCCGCCTCGGCATTCTTGGCCGAGATCAGCAGCGATTCCTCGCGCTCCTTGGCCGCCGCCGCCCGATTGAGTTCCTCCAGCTGGGCGGAGTCGACGGGCGGACGTCGCAACTCGATGTGCTCGTAGTTCTTGCGCCGCTTCTGTCGCACCGGCGGCTTCAGTGCATCGAGGCGGAACTGCTCCGGCTGCTGGGAGAGTCGGGGCGGCGGAAAGGCGGGCATCGGCAGGTGTGGCGAATCGTCGCCGTTCGAGGAGCAGCTGCTGCTTGGCCCAGGCTGGCCGCGCTGGCCACTGCGTAGCTGGACCAGCTGGGTGGCCTCCTGGACGAGATTCCTGGCCAGCGGCGAGGCTGTGGGCGAGGGGCGTGACCGCAGCGCCTCGTCGTAGCTGGGCGGTTTGCCCTGCGCCTTGGGCACCTCGTAGCAGCCATCGTCGTCGGGGTGCAGCTCCAGTTGCACTTGCTCCTCCTTCTGGCGGAGCTTCGCCTCGTTCTCACGCAGATCGCAAAGACCGCCGTTCCGGTTCAGTGGGCTCGAGAACTGTATCGCACTGAAGACCTCCGTATTGGGCATCGTCTGCCGCCTGTCCAGATCCATTTCTCCCGTTCCCAATGCCGATCCTCCTGACCTCCCAACACCATCCGCCTTGTCCTTGGACCAACCCAGGCTAAAGTTGGAGCCGAATCGCTGGCCGGCGTGCTTCAAACTCCGGCCCGCATCGGCGCCCAGTGTGCTGATCGCCTCCGTGGAGCTCTTCAGGTTCCGATCCAGCCGCTTTCGGGCTCCCTTCGCCTTGGACGTGATCCGCTCGCCGATGGATTCGCCCAGTAGCTTCGATGTGGTTCCCAGCGATCGCAGTAGGTTGCTAGGGTGGGGTTTTGAGAGAAGATTTACCATTTACCATTAGTTAACTTGGACTTGAGAGTGTAAAAGCATCCCATTCCCTTGAAGGTTAGTTTACTAAAGATCCAAAAAACATCCAGCCAAAGTTGTTAGACCACAAATGAAGGATCATTCAATGTATGGCATTCATAAAACTAAGAAACCAAGACCAAAAATATATCCCAAAATAGTTTTAAAAAAATTTTATAGATTCCTTAAACATTTCTTATCGTTAGATAAACATATACTTTTTTAACAATTATGTCTTACTTTAACCCAAAATTTTAATTTTATTTTAAAATTATTATTTAATAACAAATTCTACAAACATTTTAGCTCTCTACCTAGACAACAAATTAATTTGTTTTTATATAAGAAAACTTGAATTTAAGAATACAGATTTTTTGTTTTAATAAAACTTGACAAAAATAAATGTTTATTAAAAAAAGAACATTATACACAAAATAACAAAATAGAAATAAATCTACTTTACAGTTTTGTGCCAATCTGTATACCTTATAAGTGATATAGTTTATATTTGAACGGTTCCCAAACAATTCCGTCCATCTACGCGTATTCTCAACGATTGATCTTGAAAACAATTCTCGAGCGCACAAAACTCCGATTGGAGTGTGAAAAACTATTTTTAGAAAATTCCGCTTGTCATTGATCTTGAGCAGACGCCGGGCTATTTATAATTTATTTATTTATAAGGACGGGGCCCTTGACAGCCCCAACTTGATTTACCGATGGAGAGGGCGGCGGAAGTGAAATACCCAGAAGAAAAGAGGGAAGTTGTGGGGGCACATGCTACAGTTCCGCTGGGAAGTGCATAAATTAAAGGAGATGTTTCCGAATTAGGGGTTTATGCTAGTTCCAAAATAGTCCTAAGTGATGTGTAAATGAATCGGGAAACAGCTGCTGCAGATGATACATTTGCCTAAATTCCATTATAATGAAACAAAATCTCTCTATTTTAAAAATCCGAATACCCAACGAAAAAAAACCGCAAACACTGATGAATTCCCGATAATTTAACCAATTTGTAGAGAAATGCCATAACAAAATGTGTTATTCAAATATTTACCAAAAACTAAATAAAATTGTGCTCTGTTGGTGCAATTAAATTAACAATACCGCAACCAAAAATAACCAAAACGGATTAAATATAGATCATGTAAGTTATTTAACAAAAATATAGGCTATTTTAAATATTAATCAAACGATTTAAAACAAACATATATATTTAAAAAGTTTTACACATTTTTTTTTCAGAAAAATTGCTCAAAGACAATCCATAAAAATGAACTATAAATATTCCTTCTTATTAAACCAAAAAATACAAATACTTTTAGGCCACTTTAACTTTATAATAAATATAAATAAGTGTAATCCAACAAATACAAAAGATTGTCAAAAATGAAAGAAAAGAAATACGAATTTATAAGGAAAACCCAAATGTTTGTACCGTGCGTAAAGTTAGTTTCCATTGCAAACCAAAAAACAAAAGTGAAAACCCCTTAAAAAAACTCAAAGAGGAGTGCAGGGTCAAAGGGTAGAAATAGTGGTCAAAGTTTACTTGTCATCGTCGCCTTCGTGGCTGCCGGCGGACTGTTCTGCGGATGAATCTGCCTGGATCCGATCAGGATCATCCCCGCTTGGATCCGGCGACTGTGGAATGGTGGGTGATGAATCGACGGCGTCTACGTACCCGGGTGACTGCGACTTGAACTTGCCGCTGTGCGAGCTCTCGCTGCAGTCCAGCGATGCGTTCGATGCGTACCGCGATCCCTCCCGATCCTCGTCAGCTTTGCCGCCCACGGCATATCCACTGGTGGTGGACACCTCGCTGCAGATCGAGACTCGCTGCTCGGGCAGGATGTTGAGTGGTTTGGGCGGCACCTGCGGCGCCGATCGCAGAATCCTCAAAGGCACCTCATCCTCATCCTCGTCCTTGGGATCATGATCATGATCGGGATCTTCTGCTGGTTGCAATCGCTGGCGCGGAGCCGGCCTTGGTGTTGCGTACACCGGCTCCTGGACATTCTCATTTGCATCCGGTCCGTAGATTGGCTGCTGACTATCGCAATTATTCTCCTGCAGTATCAACTTGTTTTGTCCACTCGACGGCAGCTTCTTTTCCCCACAATTACCATGCAGATTTTCCGCATTTATGTTGAGCTTCTTGATGTTATTGTTGTTATTGATGTTGTTGTTGATATTTATATTGCTGATATTATTCGGCGTCCGGATTTCGATGTTCTCGTAGTTGGCGGGACGCAGCTCCGGATAGAGACGACGAGGGGCGGGCACAGGTCGCGCCTGCTCCATGACGTATCCTAAAAATACATACAAAATATTGGGTTAATAAAACACATTACATACATATATTCTATATTACAGCCACAATGCCACAAGAATATGGCACCATTTTTGCCATTTAAAGCTAAAAGATTTACAAAATATTCTTATAAACTTTATCAAATAGTGTAACTTATAAATAAAACCCAGCCTAATTTAAGAAATCCCATAAGGGTTTCTTTTAAATAATGTTGAAAAACAACTGTACTGGTTTTTAAAATATTTATTAGGTAACAAAGGGTTTTGTAACCATAAACTATGCAGGTATATACAAAAAGTAAGGATTAGCTGTACTGAGGGAATCTACATGGATCTTTGCTACTTTAAGTAATTGGGTGTATCCCAAAATCTTGTTTACTCAAGATCGTGACTTTAAGCGTTACCTGATAAAGTTGCCTAAGAAATTAAGGGTTATTCCGACAGGTATCCCCTTGGAGTTCTGAGACCTACCTGCCAGTGTTCTTTGCAGTATATAAATCCTGAGTTCAACTTGAAGTCTCACACTTCTCACCAGTTAATCAAATAGTCGACATGTCCACCAGTCTTGCCAAATTCTACCAATCATCACTAACTTTCTGGAGCCATCTGATTCACCTACTGCTGCAGTTCATTCAGGTCAACTGCTGGAACCACACACCCACAAGTCAGGAGGCGGAGGAAGTCACAAAGTCCTGCCCAATTGCAAGGACCATGGACGCGTTTGCGGAGGAGCAGCAAAAGAGGGTGCAAAGGAAGGCCCAGGAGTACGCCAAAGTGGAGCTACTGCATCGCCTGCTCGTCCAGCAGCAACTGCAGGAACTGGAGCAGCGCCGACTCATACGATTGGCCCTGGCCCGAAGGCGACTGGACTACTCCAATTAGACAATTGGACAGTCAAGTATTGGACAATTAGCTCATAATTTATTTAGATTTAACGCTTAGATTATGCTTAAGTATTTGCAATTTTTAAGTGGACACACATAATGAGTGCCAACGAGGCAAATAAAAAATGCAGACAGTGCGGAAATTAAAGACACGTGTTTGCTTTTCTTCTTGAACGATCAACATTCCCCCCTTCGATCGGTCATCATTAAATTTTCCCCGCTCACAGCGACGCTTTCACTTTCCGCTTTCAGAGTCAGCGTTTCTCAGTCGATTATTTATTCAGTTGGAATGAAATACAGATTTCAATAAACAATTTGCAAGCTGCTTGAGCGCAATCATCAGCAAATTGCCTACTGCCTGTCCACAAAGATGGGAAAATAGAAAAAAACAAAAAAAAATAAGATAAGGAAGCATTAAGTAACATAAATGAAGTGCTGAGTTATCAAAATGAAGTCTAATAAAAAATGTTATATTACATATTCTTCTTTTAGTGCATTATTTCCACTCATCAAAAAAAACGCTTAGCTTAAATTGTAAATAGTTTCTAAAATCATATAAAGTTTTCAATCTTTTGTTTTGGATACTTCTGTGGATATTATATAGATAACTTGTTTTGTTTACCTCACGCACCACTTCAAAACAATATAGTTTTGAGACTTGTTTACACCACTTCTTCATTGATGATCTTAATTCCTCTGGCCCTCCCATTGCTTCGACTTAATTCCATTGCAGTTCCCTGAACTTTTCAACTCTCGACAGAGTCCAAAGTGGGGGGCTCCGCATCAGACCAGACCAGATCGGATCGGATGGGATCGGATGGGATAGGATCGGACGAAATGGCATGGAATGGGGCTTTGAAGAGTGGACCATCTGGGAAGCCAGAGAATTGCTGTCGTTGTCGCTTAAGTGGTCGCCCCACTTCAAATGGGAGTTGCAGTTCTCCGCCAATAGTCCACTTCCCTGAGCCTCGATGAATTTGTTTTTAAACGTTTAAAGTTTAAACGAACCCATTGTTGCGCTTATTGTCGCTGGCACTTCGCTTTGCATATTGCGCCGGATAAGTTGGATGAATGAACTTGATGGGTGACTCACATTAGATTGGACCCTGTACTGTTTCCCGGGAACATCGGCTAGAAATACTACTACGTCGCCTTTCGAGTCTTCTTTTCGATGATTAATCGAGCTCCACTATTTCAATCGAATTTCAAATTTCACGCTCTCACGCGACGCAGAGAATATATGTACCAAGTGCTGACCAAGTGAATCAATTATTTTGCAACACACAATCATGAATCCATATTCATTCAACCAATTCCGCGACCATGTGGCCTGCCTACAGTGCGTTTCATAGCTTTTGGCGATGTAAAGGTCATGATTTTGGCTAGGAAAAAAGCTATACTCGTAATTTGTTAGAAACTATATTAAATATTTGTCTTTCCCTTTATCGTACCCATGGATATAGCAGTACTGTGTCATACTGTCGCCTGATGATATGGTTACGAATTGTACCTTCCTCGTGTAGTATAAAACTCTCTTTATATACACATTTGTCCAGATATCGCTCGTATTTATAGTGGCCGGGCAGAAAGAGCGATAACAATGAGGAGCCACCCAACGATGATAATTATAAAGCGAATATGCCGAGCGTTGAGTGTGCGTATATATCATGAATGGTCGGATTTATTGTACAGCCCCATACACAAATCCAAACTTTTGCTTTATCTATGTAAACGAAAAGCGGACTTCAATTATTTTGATCGATTTCCCAATGAGAATTCTCAATCAGCATTTTTAAAAGGAAACTAAAAGTCCAGATAAGGCCTTTAATAATGGATATTTTACAATAAAAGCTGAGCGGAGTGTACTTTTCAAAATAAAGATTTCTTTCTTTCTGGATATCTTTTAATATTCGAGGTCAAGCTGCTCCCATAAAAATATTTTCCAGAGCCATTTTTATTAACTTATCAGCTTGACATTACTGTCTAGCAACTTAAAAAAAAAAAAAACTTGAAAAAATATTCTCACCAGTTTCTTTGATTCAGTCAAGATACTTTTCAAATGAGCTCTTTGTGAATCATTTTATAAGTTTATAGCTTTATAGTGGTAAGATGATACTGATATTTCTAAGTGATATGATATAAAGTGCCAAGCTGGTCAATAAAGGCATATTAGAACAACTTTTATTTTCAAAACAATCTAATGGTAAAATCTTAGAGAAATTTTCATTGCTACAAGATATAAATATATTGCAGCATACATTAACAGTACAATTTATTTTAGGTTTTAAGTAAGCTTTTGTTTTGATAACGACAGGCACGTCAATAAATCCATTTCGGGCTGCTTTAAGCCTCCAATGATATACATATATATTGGTATATCGTATTTCGCTGCCACACATTGTTCTAATTTTTTGCGCAATTATACGATCTAATAAGGCATACTTCCGTTGCGATAATATTTGGCCTGGCCAAAGAGAAGTTATACATGTATATCTATATATGCACTATATAAGCCGACGTATTTAATTCATATTTATATGTTCGCATGCAAATAAAGTGATGCATTCAAGCGCATTTGCAATTGGATCGTCGTTTATTCGCATGAATCACTTGCGTTCTCCCTTTGCTTGTTTATGCTCTCCTTCTTTTGTTGCATTGTTATTTTGCTAATTACAGCAGTTTCCATGGACCAAGTGCATTGGCTACACGATAGCACACAGTAAAAAATTATTTCGATTGACATTACATTTTTGACATTAAATTTTTGGAATCTTTTATATCATCTTTTTTAGTATATCTAATACATTTTGGGTAGAGTTTTTTTTAGAAAATTTCAGCTTAAATTTAAAAAGAAGGTGATTTTGAGTTGTACTTAGAGTAAAAGTAATACTACTTTACAATTTCCTTAAATATTAATTTGTACGGAATGCAAGTGCTTTGCAAATTATGAAATAATGACTTATGATAATTGATGATTTAAAAGATTTTCCGATACACCCATGTATATTCTCTGTGTACGTAAAGTACATGCATGCTTGTAAGTATGAATGCATATGTATGTGATTCATGGACGGAGTTTGAGCTTTGTTTTTGTTTATGTTTATAAACGCGATAAGAACTGCGACAGTAAAAATAAGCTGAGTTAACTGTTTGTCTCGTTCATTCCTGGATCGTATTCAAGGGGCATGGTGCAAAAAAAAAAAAAAAAAACTGGAGGAAATGGGCACAGAAAGCTTAACACTCGACTTAACGCTTCCATGGCCCCAATTATATAAGAGCGGAGCCCAAAGAACGGGGGGGGCAGAGAGGGGTTAAGCGATCTCGAGTCTCCCGACTCGCGACTCGATTTCCAAGTTGTTTGACAGCATTTTTTGTCGTATGTAAGTTGCCATCGATTTGTGATTTGATTTACACACAGAAAAACAGCAGACGCACACCGGTGGAAGGTGGAAGACAGGTAGAAGAACCCACCAGGTGATCGTTGGAGGGGAGAAGGGGACCCAGACACTTGATTACCTGGATAACCATTGCGGAGGGGGAATATGTAGAGGTACTCTCCTTTTGCCAACTATCTTCAGTATAATAAAGAAGTTCTAAAAAGCGTAGTGGCAGGTGAAAACGATTTGTGGTAGTACTATCTTGTTTTAAAGAAGCATCCATACATGGTTTTGAGACAATGTTAACAAACGCTTACATATGTTAAAATTTTAAACAAGGAAAAGTAATTAAGATACGAGAACAAAGATATTTTAGAGAGAGGAGATTTTGTCACAATATTTTACTTTCAAAGTTTTGCGAATACGTTTTCTGTTAACCTTTTTAAAAAGGTTATTGATTTACGCTTTTGTGAGTACGTTAATAGTACGTTACTATATGTCTAAATTTGTTTACATTTTATATTATGTATGCATATTTTTATGAGGCAGTACAACATTTTACTAAACTTTGTGGCCTAGTTTTTTTTATTTGTTGCTTTAGCTAAAAGTTGCGAAGAGAGTTTTTATTTGTTTGTCCCAATTTTAGGACTTTTCCCTGGTATTGATCGGTTATTGGTTGGACTGTGAGAGATAAAGGGAAAACTAAACTAAATCGGAGAATGTGTGTCGGTTGGCTTAATATGTTTATAATTGACTTAATTGCCAAACAATTAAGAACGCAACAAAATGTGCCAAAAAGAGAGGGCAGAGAGCTGTGGAAAGAGACAGAAGAGAAGAGAATCAACAGGTGTCACCTGTCTCGCTCACACACACTATCACCAATTGGGAGCGATAAGCAGTTAGAAGCGATGTAGACAATGTGTGTCAAAACTTACATACATAAGTGTCCAATGTAATAAGAGTTCAGCTATTATTTAAAAATAAGTTACAAAGTATTAAAATAATATTTTGAATATTTGATTAGCATTCACTTCCAGAGATAAATAAGGAAAACACTTTTAAAATATATAGTTTACAAAATACATAACTTTATGCTGAAATTTGTAAACATGTTTAGATAACATATACCCTTTTTTTGACCCAAAAATATATACCTGTTAAAAAGAAATTTAGGGAATTTATTTTAAAGATTACTATTATTTTGGAATCAGCTGTCGAAAGTTATCAACTAACTAACACAAGCAGACTACCCGTATGTGTACACGGATTGATTAGAACGCATTTAAGGGAAACCATCGAATATCGAAACCCGCAGAAATAAAGAGCCAAAAAATGCGGCTTTCAAAACCATATAAACACTTTTACCTTTCGCTTTTTCCTCGTCGAAATTTCGTATGCAATTTATGCGTGGTTAACTTAACTTCTTTTTTATTCACAACACACAACACAACAATAAAAAATGAAAACAAAGAGCGAGAAAGAGAGGCAGAGAGCTGTGGGCGATAAAGAGTATCTTAAAATCTACACATATTGATTGATATTGCACTGTTATTTTATGGCCCTAACTTGTTGACACATTTCCACAAACATTTCGCATTAGTTTGCACCGCTCGTCTTATTTATTTATTTATTATTTTTGCAGAATGAATCACTTGCGGAATGTCTCACACACACACGCGCGCGTACGCATTGTTTGCATCCGTCTCTCTTTTTCGCGATCGTTGATGCTGTTTGCTGTTGTTGTTTTTGGGCCAGCAAACAACTACGTGCTCAACAAAAGTTGACAATTCGCGGATGAAAAATCATGACCAGAACAAGATTCTTTGTTTTCACTCCAAGCCCCGCTTTCCATCCGATCTGCGACCGATCAAGAAATACAAATGCATTGTCGCGTATCTGGAAACTGCGGGCTGGGCACCAGTGTGGCCGTTTGCGGGCAGCCGGTAAATACCTAGCAAGCAAGTTGTGAGCTCTTGAAGTGCAGTTTGAGGTCACCATTTGACACACCAAAGGAAATGTTTATAAAAATTGACCCACATTCGAATTTTAAATTTGTATTCAGAAAATACTATTTTAACAAAATTTTTGAAGAAGCATCCCACTTTGAAATCGATGGTATTAGCTCACGACTGCAGTATAGAAATTGTGTTTTATGTATCTAAATTCTTTTCAATTCTTTAACAGTAACATTCTTCTCTTCAAGAAATCTTTTTTACTTTCATTACTCGTCTTCTTGAGGACTCCTAACTTGGACAATCCTTAGACCTTGCAGGATCTTTGAACTTGCAACCGTGTTTTAACAAGTGCGTACCTAGGAAACATTTTTTACCTTTACCTTATACCTTATACCTTATCTTGGTTAAATAATGTGAAGCTACTTTTACCTTAAATAGGTACGATTTTTATTTATCTTAAAAATGTGTTTATGTTATGTGTTTACTAAACTGTTTAGTTACTGAAATAATTTGTATTGAAAATAAAAAGAAACTTTTTTTTAAAAATGTTTATTTTTAAACCTTGTTTACCTAGATATTTGACAAATGTGGTACCTTTTACCTTACCTAAATACCTATCAAATACCTAGATCCATAAAACTAATAACTTTCCCAACACTGGATTTGATCCGCAAAAACTTTCCTCACTTAATTTATGTAGAATGAATATTTATATTTCCGTAAAAAATATTTTGTGTGTTTTTTTATACAAAAATTGAAAACATTTTTAATATTATGAAGAGAAAATTAAGAAAACAACAAATTAACTCCATAAATTGTATTCCTCGAAACCGTATATGATGGTATTTTTCGGGACGGATGGTATTTAGTACCGTTGTCAGCTTGGTCACACTTTACTAAACTACTCTACTATACACAAAAGTATGGTATAGCGAAAAATCAAATAAACAGCGAAGAAGTCAATTAAAAGTGAACCACTGAGCAGGATAACTTCACCGAATTGAATCCGCTACATCAGATGCTTGGAGACCAGCCGAAAATCCCAGTCCCATAGCGTTTGGCCAGTGAAAAGTGCAAAATAAACATTCGCCCAGGGGAGGGGGCCAAAGAAAACACTCGAGAGTCTTCCGAAAATATTAAGTCCCAAGATACCACACAGAGCGATTGGTTCTAAAATGGCCACCAGCGAGATTTCCAGCTCGAACGAGCGGCACTACTACGCCAAACTGGAGGCCATCAAGGACATCCGCGACAAGACGCTGTCCCTGGAGAAGCTGAAGGTGCGCATCATCAAGGAGGTGAAGCTGAGCGACGACGAGGAGAAGTGCCTGGAGGAGTACCGCAAGGAGATGGAGCACCTGCTCGAGGAGAAGATGTCGCATGTGGAGGAGCTGCGCCAGATCCATGCGGACATCAACGACATGGAGAACATCATCAAGCAGACGAAGGAGAACCAGACGCGCTCCTTCGACATGGCCAACCGCGTGTACGAGGAGTACTTGGCGCTCAAGTACCAGATCGATCACATGCGCCGCGACTACCTCGGCCTAAGCCCCCTGCGGGATCTGCACGAAGAGGAGGGCAGTCCCATCTCGAAGGATCGCTTCCAGACCAACTTCCTGAAGGTGGCCGCCCAATCGGCGGCAGCAGCAGCGGCCGCAGCGGCGGCGGCCGCCTCTGTTAACCAGACCTCGGCGCTGGCCCGTCCGCATGCCAGACACCCATTGATGCCCGAAGCCACCGTGACCGCCCTGCCCTCGGGCGGCGGACAGGGAGGCGGGGCAGGCGGCGGTGGGGCAGGCGGTGGCGGCGGGTCAGTTGGCGGCACCGGAGCCGGTGGCGGGAATCCGGGACACGCCTTCATGCCGCCCGCACCGCCGGGATCGGGCAGTGCTGCTGCTGCCGCCGCCGCTGCGGCCGCGGCTGCAGTGCGTCTGGGCAAGGGCGACTTCTCGGCACCACCGCCGCCGCCGCCACCCAGCAACCGACTGCAGCAATCGCCCTCCATCGGGATCGGTCATCATCCCTCGTTCCGCTCCGACTTCAACGTGAATCTCCGCCAGCAGCCGCCGCCCATGAAGTCCTGTCTCTCCTGCCACCAGCAGATCCACCGGAACGCGCCCATCTGTCCGCTCTGCAAGGCCAAGTCGCGCTCCCGCAATCCCAAGAAGCCCAAGAAGAAGAACAACTAAGCGGCCAGCGTTGAAGACCAGCAACTACACTCATCTTACGTCCGGAGCTGGTTCCGGAATGTTAGCTCTTAGACGGATAGGTGTTTTTTTTTTTTTTTGTAGTTTTGCCTCGTCTATTTATTAATCCAAAAGGAAAGTATTACAACGCAAGTATGCAGGTGAGCTGATGGATTGTCCCGAGATATAGATTTAAATTCAGTCTTATTTAAAAGGCTTTGAAATTTAAAAAATTTTGCAATATTGATTTAAACTAATAGATCAACTAAACTCGTATTTTCTACATTTTAAATATATGTTCAAAGTATAAATTGTACATTGAAACACTTTTTGTCTATTTAAAATCTCAAAAGGATTTATTACACACCTGCCATCAACAAATTCTCATAACAACTTTAGTTGGTAATTCAATTATACTTGATTATTATTTTTACTTTAATCATAGGCTAAGTTTATTGTAAAAGCTCAACTAATGTGTCCAAATATCGAAAACAAAATTTCTTTTTATACATGTAAGCCATGCAAAATATGCAAGTATAGCCATATTAAGCGAACAAACAAAACAGAGTATCAATAAAAGTATTTCATTTTTAAATGCGTTTCTTTGAAAAGCGAAAATGTTTTACAAAAACGATTGAATCTTGAATGTTGATAGATTTAAATGTTTTCTTAGGGTTTGGAACTACGGAAATGGTTTGAAACAAGGGTAGATTAAAAATAAATTTTGATAATCATCGATTGCGTTTAGGCATATTACAAATTATTAATTAGGCTTAAAAAAATATTTTAAAATTGTATTACCTTTTTCATTTACGATTTTGCCGTTCGTTGCATAGGAAAAATTAAGATTGCACAAATTTGAAAATGATTTTAGTATTTTTTGTTTATTGTCATTTTAACGTGCTTTGAGTGTTGGTCACACTTGACAATAAGCCGAGCTCAGAAGTTTTTTATTCAATTTTTAATTCGGCCCGCAAACAACAACAAGTTGCTTATCGCTCCGGTTATTTTAGTCGTTGTTATTACTATTTTTCCGAGAAAGTGCAAGAACCAATTAAAATTGAACGCGTCAGTGAACGTGTTTTATTTTTTTTTTTGTGATTCAGTTTGACTTTTTGTTGTTGCTTCGTGCGTAGAATTTGTGAAAAGAGAAAGTTCTGCTCTGGGTCTTTCTCCACCTCTCTTTCTACCATTTACAATCGTGGCCAAGACGTTGCGCATGCGCAACGACAATTTCACAAGAAATTGAGGTCGATTGATTGTGGGTAAGTGTCTCCTGTAAAGTGACCTAAAAACTGATATATTAAGCCTATATAATATGGGCTTAGATATAAGACCTATAGTTGTTTTTAAATCAACAGATCTTTTATTTTTATTTTAAACATAATACATTTTTTTCAACACATACATTAACATAATTTTCATAAACATAACATAAACATTAACATAAATATCATCATTAATTTTTCTCGTCATTTTTGGTAGGATAAAGTTATCTCATACGATTGTTTAGGGTCATTAAAACTGCTCATATACGAAATATGAAATGTTTGGTCTTATAGGGGCATACCAAGATTGTTTCTGACCACATCAAATTCCTTCATATTTCTTAGTTAAATCAATACTGCAAAGGAGCTGCTTAAGCCTTGTAATACCCTTATTTTAATGCCATTTTTCACCTCCTGTTGCAGAAATCTTATTAAAGAACCATGGGCACCAAGCAAACAACCTCACCAGTCGCCAGCAAGGGCAAAACCGGCGACTCCCCCAGCGGATCGCCCTCGAAAATGAAGTGCAATGGCACTCAGAGCCTGAGCAAGGGCAAAAGCAAGGAGGTGAATGCTCTGCCGCCCCAGAAATCCGTGGTGGTGGCCTATCTTTGCTGGCTTTTCGGAGGGATCTTCGGACTGCACCATCTGTATCTGCATCGCGATCGCCACGCCTTCATTTGGTGGTGCACCCTGGGCGGCTACATGGGCATCGGATGGATGGGCGAGCTCTTCCTGATCCCGGAATATGTGCGGGATGCCAACGAGGATCCGCGTTTCGTCAAGATGTTCGTGGCCAAGCTGCAGGCGTATCCAAAGCCGCCGTACTCATCGAAGAGATTCGTGGGCCAGGTGATGATTGGCCATCTGTTTGGCCAGGTGTGTGCCATGGCCATTCCGGAGTCGCTCGTTGGCGGCTACGACCTGAGTTTCCTGCACTGGGCCATCCCGCTGTTCGTGTCGCTGGGCGTCTGGTTGGTGGGCAACATTGGCCGGGAGCAGGGCGTCTGGTGGCACTGCCTCCTGGCCGCCTACCTGGCCTATCCGGCCAGGTATCTGATCTACGACGAGACCTATTCCCTGCTGCTCACTGGCCTCGTGGCGGCCTTAACCTTCGACGGCCTCTCGAAGCAGTGGCGCCGCACTCCACCGCGACGAGGAGGCGCTGGGGAGAGGACCTTCAAGCTGACCACCGCCGTCGTCATCTACTGCGCCTTCTGGGGCAGTTTCCTGTACTTCAACGGAACCATTTCGGATGAGGACGGCGGCGAGGTGCCCATCCACGAGGCCATACACAACTTCCTGGCCTCCGCCTGGTGGACAGACCTCAAGCAGGCCCTGCTGGACACTTACAACTATGCGCAGCATCACGGCTGGTACGAGACCTGGAAGGAGGTGTTCGAGAGCATGGACGTGGATGGAGAGCGCAATTCGTACAAGGTGCTGGGCGTGAGTGCCACCGCCTCGCAGGCGGAGATCACCGCTGCGTACAGGAAGCTATCCAAGGAGTACCATCCCGACAAGGTCAAGGACGACGGATTGCGGGCCCAGGCCCACCAGAAATTCATCGAGATCCAACAGGCATACAGTGTGCTCAGCAAGATCAAGTCCAACAGGCGGCGCAAGAACAAGCAGTACCAGGAGGACGAAGCCATCGTCCTGTGAGAACAGCCGTTATCCGTCTAGTCTAAGATAGCTTGCATTTCGACACCCAGAACTCATGGCACAAGATGTTGGACTGTTCTTGGATTTTATTGTTAGCTAAAACCACAAATTAGAGGACCAAAATGCTTTCTTTTGCTGTAGATCCTAAAAACTATTAGTGTTTAAGTATAACTTAATTAACGAATAATTATTTAACTTTCGATTTCAAATGTTTATGTAAAGGTGTCCTACAAATTGGGACTGCCTAATAAACTGTGTCTTAAAAAATTAATTATGTTTCAGTTTCCATGTACATTATATATTATAATGCTTTGAATTTAAAACCCTTAAGAAAAACTTCTGAAAAATTAGTTAAATCCTTGTAATGAGTGTCCATTAGTCGCAGCTTTAGAAAAAGTGAGAAAAATACTACAAATTAGTTGCGCTTACGTTACGATAAAAAAAAAAATTTTTGACTAATAACTGCGTGACCGACAGAAAATTACCAAATCACGTATACTTCCCCCAGTAAAAGAAATCATTTCAATTAAATTTATATTCATTTATTTATTTTATATATTTTACATAATATAATGAACTACTTAACAGGCTAAGCAAAAAAAAAAAAAAAGAAAAATATTTGTTGTATTTTTTTTCTCACAAATTTGTTGTGTGTGTGTATTTTTTTCCATTAATATTTAAGTAAAACGTTTAAATAAAACGAAAAATATATATATATCGTTTTGTAGATGTGTTTATGGTATATCATAAGATTTCTCTATAATCTTAATTGCCATCGCAGGGAGTTTGTTGTTGAAGAAGAAAAATCAAACTCGAAATCGAAAAACGAAAAATCGTAAAAATAGTGTTTACGAAAAAAAATATAAACAGGAAACAATAACTCGCTTAAATTTAGTTTAAAACATAATACTGAGCAAAAAATGTGTATATAACATTTTGCCTACTAGATTTTTTGCTTTTCTTTAAAGATATTTGTATATATTAATTAATTGCTTTTCGTTTTGATTGTTTTTCATTTTTGCACTGATCTGTCGTTTATATATTTTTTAAATATATATTTAATTAAGGCCAGTAGTTTTTTAACTTTACAAATTTGACTATTTTCATATAATTGTTGTTTTTTTTTTGTGACTGGTTTTGTGTTTCGTGTGGGCGTGTGTAGATTATCACGTTTTCTTCTTTTTCAAAAAACAAAAACTCAATTTACAAAAAAAGAGTGGTATTACAATTTTCGTTAAGGGATACACTATAGTTAAAGTACGCTTTAAAATAAAATAACAATTTGTTAGGCATCGTCGACACGCACACTGTTGCAGTGTGTGTGTCTCGTGTGTGCGTGTGTTTGTATGGTTGTGTGATACTACGTTTATACGAACGCTTCAATTGCAAATACAAATTTATCGATATTATTGATAGTTTTCGATAAGTATCATTCGATAAATTTATATTGTAAAAAGGCGTGCATAAAAACAAAGTAAGAGTGTGCTTACACCTAGACTAACACACAAAAGTTTTGCATTTTCGGGGCTTCTCACTGCTTTTGCATTTTCTAGCATTCCGCTCTTTTCGATCTCTTCTCTGTATGTACAAACTAAAGTTAAGCCAAACTCGGTTGGACTTTGAGCTAAATTGTATCTCTTGCAGGAGCGGATTTTAGGGGGTGAGGGGTACAAATGTTCTACTACAAAACTACAACCACAAAAGTATGCAACGCGTATCGGCCTTCAATCGGCGCCAGTTGATATTTTTATCGATAAAGGAGCGTTCTTCTATCTATCGATAGGTATGCAAAACACTTATGCTAGTCTTCATTTTATCGATAGCCAATTTGAATGTTTTTTTTTTGTGTGCCGAGCACCTCTGAATCGATAACGCTCCTGGTTCCTCCAGTTGGTAATTTCTCTTTCTCTATCGATAACTTGATGGAATGTGGGGTTTGTGAGGGAGTTTTTGGGTTTTCGGGGGGTGTACTTGTTGGGGAGAATAAAACATTTACAGGCGCGTGACCACAATGTCCTCCTCGAGATCGTCCAGCTCGTCGTCGGTCTCCTCGACGCCATCTGGTCCTGCCTCGGCGGCGGCCAGAGCGGCAGCAGCAGCTGCGGCGGCGGCCTCCTTCTCCTTCTCCGCCGCCTCCAACTTCTCCTGCTTCTTCACCTTGCGTTGCTGCAAAGGAAAATGGAAAATTCGTAAGTCCTTAAATTCGGTCAAATTTAGTAGCCTACTTATTGGCATATACCAATTTCGGATTTAATAAATCGCATATCAAGATCCAGCAAACAAAAAATCTAAAGGTGTTAATTTGTCCACCGTAGTTCTCATGTAATGATGTTTCATATTTTGCAATTAATATTAGCTATCACTGTAATATAAGTTGCTTATTTTGGTAGCAGTAGGTTAAAGAAAAAAATACATCATCAAAAAAGGTGGTAATGAACATAAGCAATGTGGAAAACGGGTGCCTACCTTTAGGCACATGAGTCAAGGTAAAATAAAGCATTTAAAAACAAATAACACCTTATAAATACAAATACAAACAACTAAATAAGTAGAAAAATGTAAAAAATAATCAATAAAATTGTTAGTGCTTAAGATTGAGGTATATGAGTTTATGTCTAATATTCCAATGAATATCAACCAAATTTCAAGGACTACTGTTCCG